TATAGACATTAACAGATGAAAGAAAACAAAGATTTGTTGTCAGTAAACCTGCTCTAAAAGAATTGCTAAAGGACATTTTTTAAACAGAAGGGAAGTGATACCAGAAAGTAGCTTCACACATCAGGAATGAAGGAAGAACAACAGAATGATAAATGTCTGCGTAAATGTTCTTCTCCACTTGAATTCTTTAAAATACATTTAATGGTTAAAAGCAAAAAATCTGAGCATTGTCTTCTATTGTTTGCAACATATACTTCAACAGATACAATATATTAGAGAATTATACCATCAAGGCAAAAGAACAAAAGAATCTATATGTGGAAAGATTTATATAGTCCACTTAAAGTGGTAAAAAGTAGATTCTGTGTAGGCTGTGAAAAGTTAACTGTATATTAGAATAATCCCTAGAAAAACTTTAAAAAATATATACAAAAATGTATAGTTAAAAATATAATAGATACATTCAAAATGAAATAATAAGAAATGTTCAAATAACTTGAGAAAGCAGGAAAGAGGAAACAGTGGAACTGAAACAGAGAAAGCAAATGAAATACAAATAATGAAATGACAGACCTAAGTCCAAACATACCAATAATTACATTAAGTGTAAATTATCTAAACATACCAATTAAAAAAGAGATTATCAGAAGGTATAAAAAATACCATAACCCAGGTATATGCTGTCTAAAAGAAACTCGTTTCAAATATAATTATATAGGTTATGTTAAAAAATGAAAAAATATGTATCACATAAACCCTAATTAAAAGAAACCTGGAGTGGCTACATTAACATTAGACAAAACAGAATTCAGAGCAAAGAAAATTACTAAGACTAAAGAGGGACACTGCATAATGATAAAAGGGTTAATTCATTAAGAAGACATAAATCCTAAATGTGTGTGCATCTAACAATAGAAGTTAAAATACATGAAGCAAAAACTAACAAAACTGAAAGAAGAAATAGATAAACTCCCTGGCCAACATGGCAAAACCTCGTCTCTGCTAAAAGTACAAAGATTAGCTGGGCATGGTGGCAGGTGCCTGTAATGCCAGCTACTCAGGAGGCTGAGACAGGAGAATTGCTTGAACCAGGGAGGTGGAGGTTGCAGTGAACCGAGACTGTGCCACTGCACTCCAGACTGAGTGACAGAGTGAGATTCCTTCTCAAAAGAAGAAAAGGAAGAAACACATAAACTCATAATTACAGTTGGCAACTTCAACACTCCTCTTTCAGTAATAGAACTCATAGACAGAAAAGTAGCAAGGATATAGGAAAAATAAACAACATGTCAACAAAGTGGACCAAAAGAAATTCCCATGAGTAAGGGAATCGTTGAATAAACTGCAACAAATAGCATTTACAACCAAGGTTGCTACATACCACACAACTCTAGGGGTCCTTGCACATACACCTTTGAGTCATGTGGTACATAAACTCCTTAAGTGTATGCAGTGGTCCTGCACACACTGTAGAATGTTATGCATCCTTTAGGAAACATGAATAGTTAGTTCACTTGGAGGCGTTTTACTATTTTTGAAGAAAAAAGTAATACAGAGAAAAACATACATTATGTGATCTCATTTTTCTAAGACAGTAACAGATGCATATACGTGCATATGTGTGTGTGTGTTGGCATACGAATACTTGAGAATGTTGGTGAAGTGAAAGCATACATACAACATGGTTGGTAAGAAGGTAGAAGAAGTGAACAATATGGGTTGGGGAGGGGAGAGCAGTGGATAGGAACCCAAGCAAAATAAGGAAAGAAAAATAAAACTTCCATTTCAAACAACATAATATTTGTGGACTTATATATGAGTACCTCTAAAAAATAGTTTTATAGTAATATCAAATGTAAAAATTTATTCAGTTGCTTAAAAATTTTCAATGATTTCCTATTGCACTGTTAAATAAAATGCAAACCCTTTACCAAGACCTAAGTGATTTGGTCCTATCTACCTCTCCAGACTTAAGTGTTACTACTCTCCCCTCCCCAGGCAAGTCTCTTTCTGGACAGAAGGACTTCACAGTTGCAGTTTCTTCTACCTCAAATGCTTTTTGCCACTGGTCTTTGCATGTCTGGCTCCCTCTCATCTGTGGCAGATTCTGTGATTTACCTACCCAGTGGTCACCCTCTCCTTCTTCCTTACCAATAGGATACTGATTTTAGTTGGGAGTGCATTATGTCCATTTAAAATACTTGATCTCGTCTCCCTTATGGCTAGGAGTGATACAGTTCAGGCCAAAGGGATATTAAGTAGAAGTTACTGGCATGGCATGGGTTCTTGGGAAGCTTTCTTCTTCTTTTTTTTTTTTTTTTTTTTTTTTTTTTTTGAGACAGAGTTTCACTCTTGTTACCCAGGCTGGAGTGCAATGGCGTGATCTCGGCTCAACACAACCTCCGCCTCCTGGATTCAAGCAATTCCCCTGCCTCAGCCTCCCAGCTTTCTTAAAAGAATCAAACGAATTGGCATCTGCTGTCTTCCCCTTCCTTTTCTGCATTGTTAAGCCATGAAAATGGTTGTAAAGGTAGAGCTGAGGTTCTCAAAGTGTGCTCCCCAGATGAGCTGTCTCAGCATCACCGGGGAACTTAAACAGGCAAATTATGAGGCATCCTCCCAGACCCACTGAATCAGAAACCCTGGGGATGGGGCCCAGCAATCTTCAACAAGCCCTTCAGGTGATTTGTATACCTGCTGAAATTTGAAAGTCACTGGGCTAGCAGATAGAAGTTTCTTTTACTTTTCGTTTTCTTTCTTTCTTTATTTTTTGAGATGGAGTTTTGCTCTTGTTGCCCAGGCTGGAGTGCAATGGTGTGATCTCAGCTCACCACAACTTCTGCCTCCCGGGTTCAAGCAGTTCTCCTGCCTCAGCCTTCTGAGTAGCTAGGACTACAGGCATGTGCCACCACCCATGGCTAATTTTGTATTTTTAGTAGAGACAGGGTTTCTCCATGTTGGTCAGGCTGGTCTCAGAACTCCCGATCTCAGGTGATCTGCCCGCCTCCACCTCCCAAAGTGCTGGGATTATAGGCATGAGCCACCGTACTCAGCCAGAAGTCTCTTTAGAGATGGCAAGTCAGTTGGATGAAGTTAGTATACCTCTGACATCACGGAGCCACTGCACCAGACTTGGACTGCCTCCTCTGGACTTGCAGATATGTGGAAAACAATTCCTATTTGGTTAAGCTACTGTGGTTAGGTTTCTGTTACATGCAACTGAATGTAATTCTAATGTTAAATCATTTTTTAAAAATCAGCTTAAACATGATCTCCTTAAAGAGGCCTTCCTTGACTGCTCTGCTTACACCCTTCATTCCCAGAGTCCTTCTCTATCATTCCATCCTATTTGTTTCCTTTACAGCACTCATCATACCCTGAAATCTTTTGACTGACTTGCTGTGGTTTGTTTCTCCTTTAAGAATGTAAGCCTCACACCAGTAGTCTTTGTCTTTTCACTGCTGTGCTCTAGCACATTATTAAATAGATAACACACACTATCTGGCATGTAATGAATGCCCTGTAATTATTTACGGAATGATATAAATAACTTTACAATTTTACATTCCACTTAAAATCATGCATTTTTAAAACATTTTAATGAACAAAATGATTCATTGCAGATAATTTCATGATTTTTAGGAAAAAAAATTAATTGAAAAAGTAACACACATGTAAAAAGCATACAATATAGAAAGGTCCTCCATGCTTTCCTGTGAACACTTGCTACCTTACTCATAAGTAGCCTATCAATTCTAAAAACTGTGAACAACTAATAAAATAGCTGTGTAAATATTCAAAGCTGTACATAAATGAATTGCATGAATTCAGCCTGTCTTTGGCATCCTCATCTTTCCATCAGCATTAGTGAGAGACTTGTTTAATAATAAAACTTTACATTAAATTTAAACAAAAACATTCAAATAATAGTAACAGTTTTGGTCAGTTTTCTTATGCATTCCACAAGACACATACAGTTAGTTTTAACCTTGGAGGAAAAAAAACATTCCTTCACCTATGTCTCTACTTTGCCTCTTCTAGTAATCTCAAGCTTGGTCCAAGATGAACATCACCATCAGCAAAAAGTGCCAGAGGCAGAGGGGGGAGCTTCTCACTAAGGAGAAAAGGAGTCCTAAGATTTGCCAAGACCATTTCCTTCTTCATGGAATTGGGAGAAATTAGGTTAGACAGTTTATTGGGAGTTCCTTCCAAATACTTGGAGCTGTAAAAATTTCATGTCAGTAGCATCCAAGTGCAAGCTTTTGAAAAGCTTCCAGAAGCCAACATCAGCCCAACATGGTGGATTTTTTTTTTTTTTTTTTTTTTTTTTTTTTTTTTTTTTTTTTTTTTTTACCAGTGAAATAACATTTTATCCATGAGAGGCAATGACCTTAGTTTTCCACTTGAGCAATTTCCATCTGGAATTGTATCAGAACAAGCATCAAATGTACCAGCCTTAGGTTAGCAATAACAACATTCTTTAAAGCTGAGTTCTACTTCATCTCAGTGTATCAGAATTATCTGGGGAGTTTGCTGAAAATAATGCAGGTTCTGTAGCTTTACTCCCACAGGTGCTGATTCAGTCTGTCTTGAGTAGGATCTAGTAATCTACATTTTCAACAAAGCTCTCCAGATGATTCTGACAGAGGTGATATGAGTTCTACAACCTGAGAAACATTGGTCTTAGGAGAAGAGTCCAAAATTGCTTCTTTCCCAGACTAAGACCTACTGCAGACAGTGACCTAAGACAGCCAGACTACCCAAAGGTCTTCCTCTGATGAGAAGGCGAAGTCTCTGGTGAGAAGTTCATCTAGACTCCTCCTCAAACACTCACTCAGGGGTGCGAGTCTCCATAGTGCCCAATTCTGTAAGTGAATACAAAATTGGGCCCAGCACTTGGCTGGACTTGAGAATAAACAGCAAAATCTCAAGGTACCAGAGAAGTTTTTGTTGGTACTAGAGGCCCATAGTATAATCTTTTACTTTGCTCTGCTTCCTTTTCACTGATATTGAACTAAGGAAGCCAAATAGACCCACACAGATAATATGTTGTTTGGGTATGGGTGAATGTATACAGCTAAAGCAAATTCTGTCTGGGGAAATTCAACAGAATTAATTCCGGTTTGATAAACAGCATCAATAACTGACTGTACATCAGTGTATGGCATCTGGATGGGAAATCCCGTGACCTAGATCAAAGACAGAACAGCACATAAACCCACATTACAACTGGGTAATCTGGAATTTCTGCATACAAAAAGATCATAAAAGCCTCAAAGAAATAGGACACATAAAATAGTATAATAGTTGTCTGTGGGTGCTGAATTATGCTCTGGGTACAGCTAAATGCTTCACATATGTATTTAATCTTTAAACAGCCCTATGAGGTAGGTATTGTTATAATCCCTACTCTACAGATAGAGATGAGCACAACCAGGTCTGATTCCAAAGTCTGCACATTTAACATTCCACAAACTTTCTAGATAGCAAACTGCTGGTGAGAAAATTACTTGGTTCTACATATGAGGGATTTAAGTGAGAATTTTGGAACAACATATTCAACATCAATTCAGTTTATGTTTACTAAGCAATTACTCTGTGATGGGATTAAAGGATTGTGGAGCATGGTTCCATGGAAAAATTACCTATTTAATAATACATAGGTGACAACCATAAACATTTCACACTGTAATTGCTTAACTCAGGAGGATTTTCCTGATCCTTAAATCTGTTCACATGCTCTTCCCATGTGGTTGTTGAGCACGCTGTCCTTCCCTGAACTTACTTAATAAAATATATTGCAGTTACCTGTTTTCTGGTCACTCTCTCTAACCTATAATCTCTGCAGATGCACAAGATTTTATCTGTCTTGTGTACTATTATAACTCCAGTACCCAGTACATACCCTTCTATGTGCCTGGCACATGGAAGAGAAAAAATAGCATATACTAAATACTTACTAGGTTTTGGGTGCCATGGTTAGTATTAGCTCACATAATCATCAAGAAAATGACAAAATAACTTTTTTTAATTCCTGTTTTCTAATGGAGTAGAGAGTGTAAAGAAAAACAAAACAAAAAATGCCTTGCTTCTTTTATCATATGAGGAAATAGCAAGAAGATGTATTATATGTACAAGAGCCCTTTTTCTGCTAGCACTTTGATCTTGGGAGTTCCCAGCCTCCAGAACCACAATAAATATATTTTTGTTGTTTATAAGCTTTAAAATAAAGCAAAGCAAAGCAAAAACAACTTCCTCCCCCCATTCATGAGTGAATAGTGCCTGTAGGTCTCTCCTGCCCACCTAAGTACTCAACTTCCAATAGATTCCTTACTTCATCTTAGAGAGTTCCCTAGAATAGAAGCTGTCTACCTTCTAGTCTATTGCATGGTAAGGGGGAAGGAGTCTCACTCTTGGGAGACTGAGTTTTTCAAAAACCCACTGGGCCAGTTTATAGGGAAGAAGAGGTGAAAGGATACCCAGAGTTTGGGGTAGAGTAGGAGAAGGAAAGGAGGACCCTAACAATATAGCAGATGCCCACCATGTTTGTTTATGGACTTGCTGAGTTAGAGATGTCTTTTTACCATCCAAGAAGATGTCAATGGCCTGGTAAATATATAAGAGAGTGGTGGGGTCAGAAGAAAGGTCCAGGCTGAATGTATAAATTTGGAAGTACAGTTGGTCCCTCATATCTGTGAGTTTCACATTTGAGGATTCAACCAACCACAAATTGAAAATATGCAGAAAAAAATACAAAATAGGCTGGGCACGGTGGCTCATGCCTGTAATCCCAGCACTTCAAGACCAGTCTGGCAATATCATGAAAACCCATCTTTACAAAAAGATTTTAAAAATTAGCCAGGCATGCTGACAAGTAACTGTAGCCCCAGCTACTCAGGAGGCTGAAGCAGGAGAATTGCTTCAGCACAGGAATTTGAAGTTACAGTGAACTATGATCACACCACTATACTCCAGCCTGGGTGACAGAGTGAGACTTCATCACAAAAAACAAAACAATAAAAAATACTACAAATAGAAAACAATATAGTATAACTATAATTATTACTTACAATACCTAACTATTGTGTGAGGTATTATCAGTAATCTAGAGGTGACTTAAGTATACAGGAGGATGTACATGGATTATATGCAAAGACTATGCCATTTTGTATAAGGGACTTGAGCATCTCTGCATTGTGGTAGTTGTGGGGGTCCTGGGGACAAATCTCCTAATGATACCAAGGGACCACTGTAATTTGCATGTAGAAGATATTGAAGCTTGCCTGGAGTCCTCTTGCCCAGAACCAATAACAAGGAATTGACTCTATTATTAGAGATAATTTTTTTAAATTTCTTAGTTGCAGAGTGGTTTCCTTTCGGACATCTCTTTGCAAAGTCTGTAGTTTATGCATCATAAAACATATAACCGTTTCCAAGTTAATGCCATGCAATATGGTCCTAGTAGTAATTCTTCAATACATTTGAAGTTTCTTGGTTTCTAAGTAAACATATTTTTTTAATTTTTAATTTTTGTGAGCACATAGTAAATATATAGTAGATATATATGTATATATATGGCGTACAGGAGAAGATATTTTGATATGGACATGCAATGATGCAATGCATAATAGTCACAGCTATCCTTCCCCCCAAGCATTTAACCTTTGTGTTGTAAACAATTCAATTATACTCTTTTAGTTACTTTTAAATGTACAATTAAATTATGATTGACTATAGTTACCCTGTTGTGCTATCAAATACTAGGTCTTATTCATTGTTTCTAACTATTTTTTGTATCCATTACTCATCCCCACCTCCCTCCGAATCCCCTACTCCCCTTCCCAGCCTCTGGTAAGCTTTTACTCTCTAGCTCCATGAGTTCAATTGTTTTGACTTTTAGATCCCACAAATGAGTGAGAACACGTGATGCTTGTTTTTCTGTGCCTATCTAATTTCACTTAAAGTAATGACCTCCAGTTCCATCCATGCTGATGCAAATGACAGACTCTCATTCTTTCTATGTCTTAATAGTACTCATTTGTGTATATCCACCACATTTTCCTTATCCGTTCATCTACTGATGAACATTTATCCTTATCTGTTCATCTACTGATGGACACTTAGCTTGCTTGCAAATCTTGGCTGTTGTGAACAGTGTTGCAAAAAACATGGGAGTGCAGGCATGTCTTCAATACACTGATGTCCTTTCTTTTGGGCATATACCCAGCAGTGGGATTGCTGGATCCTATAGTATGAGGAACCTCTAAATTAATTTTTTGAGGAACCTCCAAAATATTCTCCATGGTGGTTGTACTAATTTGCATTCCCAACAACAGTATACGAAGGTTTCCTTTTCTCTATATCCTTTCTAGCATTTGTTGTCTGTCTTTTGAATAAAAATCATTTTAATTGAGGTGAGATATTTCATTTAGCTTTGATTTGCATTTCTCTGATGATCAATAAGGTTGAGCACCTTTTTATATGCCTTTTTGTCATTTGTATGTCTTCTTATGAGAAATGTCTATTCAAGTATTTTGCCCATTTTAAAAATCAGATTATCATATTTTTTCCTTACAGTTGTTTGGGTCCCTTATATATTCTGGTTATTAATCCCTTATCAGATTGGTAGTTTGCAAATATTTTCTCTCAGTCTTTTCACTTTGTTGATTGCTTCCTTTGCCATGCAGAAGGTTTTTAACTTGATGTCATCCCATCTGTCCATTTTTTATTTGGTTGCCTGTGCTTGTGGGGTATTACTCAAGAAATTTTTGCCCAGACCAATGTCCTGGAGGCTTTCCCCAATGTTTTCTTGCAGCAATTTCATAGTTTGAGGCCTTAGATAAACTCTTTAGTCCTGTGTGATTTGCTTTTTATGTAAGGTGAGAGATGGGAGCCTACTTTCATTCTGCATATGAATATCCAGTTTCCCCAGTATAATTTATTGTCTTTGTTGAAAATGAGTTCACTTAGGTGTGTGGATTTGTATCTGGGTTGTCTATTCTGTTCCATTGGTCTATGCGTCTATTTTTATGCCAGAACCATGCTGTTTTGGTTACTATAGCGCTATAGTATAATTTGGAGTCAGTAATGTGATTCAGTTTTGTGTTTTTTTGTTCAGGATAGCTTTGACTATTCTGCATCTTTTGTGGTTCCATAAACATTTTAGGATTGGCTTTTTTATTTCTGTGAATAATGTCGTTAGTATTTTAATAGGGATTGCATTGAATCTGTAGGTTGCTCTGGGTAGTTTGGACATTTTAACAATATTGATTCTTCAATAAGTATATTTTTATGCTATAGTATCTATCTTTCAGGATGAAGATAAAAGCATTTCAGAAATATTTAAGATTGCCATTATTTAGCAATTAACAACATATATAAAACAAATGCCATTAATGCATTAAATCATATACAAACCCAATAAAATTGTAGTATTCTTTCAAATTCATTATCTCCTTCAGAAGAAACAAAGCTTCCTATGCCAAGTTCCAGCTTAGGAAGGATCTGTCGCAAAATCAAAGTACATTGTCGATTCCAACGTGTTGGGTGTTTAGGTCGCCATTCCATCACTTTACTCTTCAGAGTCCTTTCGATCCTAAGAATGCAAAGCTAATTTTATGACAACTTATAACTCATTTAGTAAATGTAGTAAGACTTTTGTAACTTCTATTCAACTCTGAGAATGAATATTTGGACTTAGGAGGAAATCAGACCTCTATAGCTAGAGGTGTCTGCCACCATTCACATTAATGAAGCTGGGGAGAGGCAGGCTCTTACTGGGCTTGGGAAGGCAAGAAGTCTCTTGGGGATAGCCAGCAATTAACTCTCTAATTAACCCAGCAGCTGCCTACTGGATATGATTTGACAACACTTACCATCTGATTATTGGGTTGACATTCCTACTCTTCAAGACCCTCCCTTGACTTGGACATTGTTTCCAAGAAACTGCCCTTATGAAAATCCAGACATCTGGTCTGGGATGATGTTACCAGGGATGGGATTATTAGATGAGTTAATTTAGCAAGCAGAGTTGGGAGGAAACAAGGCATTGGACTGGTAAGTTTGGTGATCAGCTTCCCCCTACTTGAATGTAAGCTCCATAAGGAAAGGGATTTTTACCCATATATATCCAGCCCCTAAAACAGTGCCTGGGGATGAATATACCAGGGAGGAGGGAGGGGGCACAGTATGGGTTGGTTGATGGGGCTCTCCTGAAAAGCATCTCTGTACAGGATGATTTTGTGGCATTGATTCTCTAATTGCAGTGTGTGTTATTTAAGAAGGTGCTGGAGGTCTCTTCTTAGCTGAGTTTATAGTGCAACTAAGTAGTTTGGAGTTTGTAGAGGGTCTCAACAGTGGCTGTGCATCAGAATCAACTGTAGGGCCTTATCAAAATGTTTCAGCTCCAGATATTGATCCAGGGATGCTGACACTTGTATTTTTAAATAGTTCTATACGCGATTCTGATGAAAACCAGTTGGGAACCATTTCCTTATTGCATTTCTTTCTTTTTTTGTTAAGAACTGAGAAATGAGGAGTAGGAATGACAGGGTGGGGGGTTGGGAGGAGATGTGTGCTATTGAGAAAGGGAGTGGCAAAACTGCCTTGGTCATGCTCTTTGCTGCTTGGTTGATAGTGGCTTCCATGCCAGCCTGCTGTGTGAGTATGAGCCACTGGAGGCAGTCAGATCCAGAAGCATCTGACACACATGGCCTGAGAGTGGGCCCTGCTGCAAAGCCTGTGACTCTTTGGGCCTCAGGCACTTATGTGTATGTGCTTTGGAGGCTGGGAGTGTCTAGTAGTGGCAGTACTGCTGTTTATACTGCCTAACTGGGATGTTTTTCACCAGACCTTGTGTCATGGGCCATTTGCCTTCACGTCCTTTCAAGAAGTGTTAGGTACTGCATTGTTGTTACTATAGGCTCAACAGGCAGCTATGTTGAGAACTTTCCAGTCATGACCCACAATGTTTCCAGAGATAATTTAGTCTATCCCCGTCAAGGAATGCCCTGGATGGCAGAGGGGCCACTTTTCAATGCATGTACCAAGAGCCAGGTGATTCAATAGAACTGTTTTGTTTTTGTTTTTTTGTTTTTGCCAAGGCCTTACTCTGTTGCCCAGGCTAAAATGCAGTTGTGTGTGGTGTGATCATACCTCATTGCAGCCTCAAACTCCTAGGCTCAAGCAATCCTCTCCCTCTCAGTCGCTGAGATTACAGGTATATGGCAACATGCCCAGCTAATTTTTTTTTCTTTTTTCTTTTTTTTTTTTTTTTTTTAGTGGAGATGAGGTTTCCCTATGTTGCCCAGGCTGGTCTCCAACTCCTGGGCTCAAGTGATCCTCCCACCTTGGCTTCCCAAAAAATTGGGATTATAGGCGTGAGCCACTGTGCCAGCTGGAAATATTATAATCCCCCTTTTCACAATTCTGTTGCTGAATCTAGCAGGTATTTTGAAAGGCTGGATCAGAGGACTGAAAGGTTACCCAACAAGAGATTAGGGGGAAACACGGTACCTATTCCTTAGATCTTCTACCATGCTTTTATCAGTTTCAAAATAAATTATTTCTTCAGGCTGAAATAGACAACCAAAAGTTAGGAAAGATTCTAGAGACCACATTTACATCAGTTACTCCTGGAGTGCCAGCTATAATAAGGAGGAAGACAAACCAGGCTTCTGTGGCAGAAACACTCAACTCCATAGGTACAATGCAGACCATAACATTTTCTTTGATTTTCACACTGCTTCACCACAGCAGGGGATAGGGGATGCATTTACAAAAGAAGATATTTTTTCATGGGTAAAACAGACCTGGCATCCCAATTCATTTTTCAAACAAGCATTTGACATTATATGGATTCTACCAAATAATCTTTAGCAGCTGCACTGGTATCTTCCACTGTGACCTTGGCTAAGTCTTCAACCTCTCTGTTCTGAGTCTGCCTACTGCTCTAGGGTCTTGTGAAGATTTTAAAATAAAGAAATACACGTAAAGCCTGGCACATATGGAATGCTCAACAAAAATCAGACATTATTATTATTCTTTTTTGTTTTTGAGATGGAGTCTCACTCTGTTGCGCAGGCTGGAGTACAGTGGCGTGACCTTGGCTCACTGCATCCTCCGCCTCCTTGGTTCTTGCAATTCTCCTGCCTCAGCCTCCCGAGTAGCTGGAACTACAGGCACACGCTGCCACGCCTGGCTAATTTTTTGTATTTTAGTAGAGACGGGGTTTCACTGTGTTGCTCAGGCTGGTCTCAAACTCCTGAGCTCAGGCAATCTGCCTGCCTCTGCCTCCCAAAGTGCTGGGATTATAAGCATGAACCACCATGCCCAGCCAATATTATTATTATTCTAATATGGTTGATCATCTTCCTTCTTTGATTACTTGTTTCTTTCAGCTGGAAGAAGCCAGTTCTTTGTATGCGTGCGCGCGCGCGCACACACACACACACACACACACACACACATACACACACACACACAGAATCCATTTCAACCTCCCCTGTCTCCAAGCCTTTGCCTGGAATAGTGCTATTCCACGTTTCTTCCAGTTCGCTACCTGGGCAGGATTTGCTGGGAGGAGAGAAGGACTTCTCAAGTTCCTTCCCAACCGAACCTTCAACTCCTTGCAGGGCTCACATGGACAAGAGTGAGGGACTGGGTTTAGACAGTTTTTACTTTGGGTATTCCTGAGTTGAGGAAGAGGCAGCTGTAGGGACAGGGACAGATGTTCCCCGCTCGTGAGTGGAATGAGGGTTGTGTAAAAAGGAAGCAACATTTGATAGGTCTCTAGGTTCCCAAGTGTGGTCTCCAGACTGGCAACCTCAGATTTGGGAACTTGTTGGAAACACAAATTCTCGGCCCTCACCAGAGATCTACTGAATCAGAAACTGGGGAGGAGGCCTAGGTAACCCGCATTTTAGCAAGCTCCTCCCCTACCCCTGCTGGCTCTGATATCTGCCATGGTGGAGAAACACTGCATTAGAGATGGTCCCAGGCCCAGGGAGGAGCCCCACAGTGCAGCATGGCGGGAGACGGGAGATACTGAGGAAGGGAAGGATGACTTCGTGTCATTTTGCAGAAGCCAGCAGCTATCTCACATGGGACAGCTAGACGGAATTCCCTGATTACTTTCACCAATGGCTGTCTACCCCGCACTGGGCAAATCCTCTGGATTAGTTAGGCCACCTTCAGGCCTGAAAAAGAGGCCTGGTTTATGCTGACTTAAGAAGTTTATGGTGTGTTTGTCCTTTCCTTTTCTTGCAAAGAAAGAGGCCTCTTTCTTTCTAGGAACTCACATCCTTTAAAACTCCAAGGGGATTTCCCTGTTAACACCAGTTCTGAGTACCCACATTCTCCTCATACACATTCAAATTGTGTTGACAATTGTGTGTAATAGTGTTCACTCTAGATAGTGGTTTAGTCTGGGATGTATATAGAAAGGCAGCAGGCCGGGCGCGGTGGCTCACACCTATAATCCCAGCACTTTGGGACGCTGATGGATCACGAGGTCAAGAGATTGAGACCATCCTGGTCAACATGGTAAAACCTCATCTCTAATAAAAATACAAAAATTAGCTGGGCATGGTGGCACGTGCCTGTAGTCCCAGCTACTTGGGAGCTGAGGCAGGAGAATTGCTTGAACCTAGGAGGCGGAGGTTGCGGTGAGCCGAGATTGTGCCATTGCACTCCAGCCTGGGTAATGAGTGAAACTCCGTCTCAAAAAAAAAAAAAAAGAAAGAAAAAGAAAGGCAGCAGATGGAAGGCCATGAACCCACAGGAAAGAAGTCAATAGAGATACAAGTTAAACACAACTATGAGTTTTATATTTATAGATTCAACTTGGCAGAAGGCTTTAGTTTCAGCCCTAAGTCAGAGTGGCTTTTACAAACACAATTTTGATCACAGCTGCCCTTGCCTTGGAGATGCTGGCTTCTAACTGCCCTGAGGACAAAGGCCCCAAACTCTCACCAGGACTCTTCACCCCAGCATTGGCCAGCATGGCCTTTCAGCTCCTGGACAGATATCTCCTTGCTACTACAGATCTTCTGTTCACTATTCCTGCTATCTGCCGGGACCATTCTCATTCCTGACTTTTATCTAGGTCAGCTTCTGCTCACCCTTCCTCACTCATGCTTCTCATCACTCTTTCCCAGGAAGCCCCTACAACTCCCCCATCCCTCAGGGCCTCCTGCTGTGTGCTCCCTAAAGCACCATTATATGTTCTGCAACAGCATTCATCACTCTATACTGCAATTGCTTGTTCCCTTCTGTTTCTCCCTCTAGAATACAAGTACCAAGAACACTGAGACATGTCTCTTTCCTTGTAGTATCTACACCTAACATCACACTGGCTCAGAGCAGGAAATCAATAAATATCACCTGAATGGAGAGGAGAATGAATATGCATTAAAGAAACAAGAACCTCGTCTCAAAATAAATTATTCTCCCCTAGGAGGCAGCAATGCTTTGGTCACAGCTTTGGGATGGGCAAAGCAAGGAATGGGCTGTACACGCTTTAAATGTGGATGGCTCAAGAGAGATAAGCACGTTTCCCCTTCTTTAAAATGACTTTTCAAACAGGAAATATAAAAATACCTATATATGCTTGCATCTGCATGGAGAATGCTGGAAGGATACATGAGAAACTTCTGACAGTAGTGACTTCTTTGAGAGTGGGAAGGAGATGTTGAAGGAGAAAGAAACCTATTACTTTTTTTTTGGAATCCCAGACTGGAGTGTAGTGACACAATTGCCCAGACTGGGGTGCAGTGGCGTGATTTCAGCTCACTGTAACCTCTGCCTCCCAGGCTCAAGTGATTCTCCTGCCTCAGCCTTCCGAATAGCTGGGATTGCAGGTGTGCACCACCAAACAGCGAATTTTTTTTTTTTTTTTTTTTTTTTTTTTTTTTTGTATTTTCAGTAGAGATGGGATTTTACCATGTTGGCCAGGCTGGTCTTGAACTCCTGACCTCAAGTGATCTCTCTGCCTCACCTCCCAGAGTGCTGGTTTTTACAAGTGTGAGCCACCACACCCAGCCAGAAACCCATCAGTTTATACACTTGGGCCCTGTTTGATTTCTTCCCCCACAGCCACCATACGTTCTTTTTGATAGTGTGAATTGCCTTGAATATACAGGCAAACATAGAGAATAATGTAATGAGCATCCACCTAGCATACCTACCACCTAGCTACATCTGATCTTTGCATTCTCCCATCTTGGTTTTAGACTTAAGAAAAATAGATACTACAAACAGACCTGAATACTTTGTATTCAAGTATAATCTGAATACAGAGTATACTCTGTATACTACTCCTTGATCTTATTCCTTTTTTTCTCTCCCCAAAAGTGACCTCTAATCTGAATCATTCCCGTGAATGCTTTTCTACATCACCACATGTCTATATATACATAAATAATATATAGCGTTCAAACTCCACATAAATGGTTTTGTACTGTATGTGTCACTTCATGTCTTTTTATTTTGCTCAGCATTACATTTTTTATATTCTTTCATGTAGATATCCCTGACTCTAGGCCAGTGATTTTCAACCTTGACTGCACATTGGAATCAACTGGGGAGCCTTCAAAACTACTGGCATGTGGGTTCCAGCCTCAGAGATTCTGATGTAACACACGGACAGTCAAATTGGAAACACTGTAAATTGGCTCAATTGGTTCATCTTTTACTGCTGTACAGAAGATTTCATTGTATAAGTACTTCACAACTCAGGTACTGATTTCCAGTTGATGAACCATTTCAAATGTTTGTTATTTCAAGCAATACTATAATGAAAGTTGTTGTACTTTTCTCCCTGTGAATGTTCCTCTGGGGTATATACTGAGAAGTTTGAATTGGCAGATCAAAGGTTGAGCATCTTCAACTTTACCAGGGATTATCACCATATTGTTTTCCAGAGCATTTACAGCAATGTATGCTGCCACCACTTCTCTGCCTCTTTGCCAACACTTAGTATGATCACAGTTTTTTTTTTGCCAGTTTTATGCATGTTAAATAGTTTTATTGTTTTAGTTATTTATTTATCTTAGAGACAAGGTTTTGCACTAGGCTCCTAGGCTGGAGTTCAGTGGTGCGATAATAGCTCACTGTAACCTCAACTTCCTGGGCTCAAACAGTCATCTCACCTAAGCCTCCTAAGTAGCTGGGACTACACGTATGCATCATCACCATGCTTGGCTAATTCTTTTGTTTTTATTTTTAGAGACAGGGTTTTGCTATGCTGTTCAGGCTGGTCTCGAACTCCTGGCCTCAAGTGATCCTCATGGCTTGATCCCTTCAACTGTTCAGATTACAGGCATAAGCCACCATGTCCAGTGATGGTTTCCTTGTTTTAAATTGTATTTCCTTGATTATGAGTGAGGTTTAGCACTTAAGCTACTGCTTCTATGAATTGTCTTTTGCCTAATTTTTCTATTGTTCTTTTTCTCTCTCTTATCCTCTCTCTCTCTTTCTCTCTCCCTGCCTCTGGGCTCCTGTCTCCTCATTTGTGGACTTTGCAGTTGCCTACACCCCTGCCACAGCTTGGCCCTCAATCCAGAAACAGGTGTTGACATGGTATTGCTAGTGCCCTCTCAAAGTAATACTGAGTATGTCACAGATCCATTGGCCATGCTATGTAATGACTGGGTTACTTCTTGGTCTCCTGCCTCCTGAGCCCCAAGCAGGGAGTCTACAGCTTTCCTTCTCAACGTCTTTCAAAAACAAGGGAGTAAAAGTAGCCCCACCACATCCCTGGCTTTAAAAAGTAACTTGCTCTGGTTCTCTAGCTTTCGTGAAGTATTTTCAGACCCTGCCGCCATCCCTGCTCCAGCTTACTCACTGCTAGTGTTTCTGTCCTTCTATTCCATGAGATAACTATCATGGTTGGGAGCCCCAGAAAGCTTTTTGCTTGCCAAGTTTTATACTTGATCGTCACCATGGATATGGTGCAGGAGGGCTAGGTCAGAGTGAGAACTTACAGTACATCTTGAACATTATATGCTATGTTTTATGATGAAAATTTTTTAAATTCTATTTTGGCATCTAAATTTACATTTGAGATGTCACTTTCTTCTCAATTTATTTTTTCTGCAAGTAGGGGAAAGGGGCCATGAGCTGGATGGCAGAGAAAACTAGTTTTTGATTAATATTGCCAAATATTTCAGTAAGCAATCAACTATAAAACATAGCAAGAGCTGTCACAACTGTTAAAAATTAGAATGAGAGGTAACTCTCATACAGACACACATGGAAAAATATGATTTACCTGTATGCTTTGTACTTTTGTCCCTTGAACATTTTTTGGAAGCAATGGCTTCCAGAAACTTTCCTTTGAGTAGTCAAAAAATACAGCCATTGGTGTATTACTTTGTTGAATATTAAACCAGACCTATGAAAACATTAACATAAAATTAGTGTAGGTCCATGGGAACACAAGGCCCATCGTTGGTAAAGAAGGAGCAAAATTTTACAGTCTTACTACTCAGTGAAGTGACTGAATCCCAGGGGAGGTCTGAGGCAGGAGATAAAGAGATTCTAGGGTTTCATGATCATTAGACCACATCATTGGTTCTCATCCTTGAAGGCACTACACAATCACCTGGAGGAGCTTTAGGAATAAAAGACTGCCCCAACCCCATGCCCTAGAGAATATGATAGAATATCTCTATGTAAAGTTCCCCAGGTAATTCTAGGGTGTAGGCAGAGTGACTTTTGAGGAGATAACTCAAGAATTTTTTCGCCATGTACTTACATTTCTATCATCAAACAAACAATCTACACTTTTTAAGGGACAAAATGGGTCAAACTGCTTATAACACTGGCCAGTTGATGGATTCCAAAGCAAATACTCATTAGTTTCTTGAGTTAATACATAAGCCACATGTCCCTGTATGAGAAAAAAGAAAGTAATTTTTGGTGGATTTAAAGTTATTTCTGTATATGGAAATTATATTCTGATGATTCTGATTTCTAAAGCCTTTTTTAGCTGAGTGTGGTGGTTTATGCCTGTAATCCCAGATCTTTGGGAGGCTGAGGAAGGAGGATCACTTGAGCATAGGAGTTTGAGATTGGCCTGGGCAACATAAGGAGACCCAGTATCTACCACCAAAAAAAAAAAAAAAAAAAAAAAAAAAATTAAAAATTTGCTGGGCACAGCAGTACACAGCTGTAGTCCTAGCTACTTGGGAGGCTGAGGTGGGAGGATCACTTGAGCCTGAGAATTGAGGCTACAATGAGCTGTGATAATGCCACTGGCCTATAGCCTGGGTGACAGAGTGAGATCCTGTCTCAACAACAAACAACAAAAATAGATAAAAGCTTTTCTGAGGGCTTTTAAATTTTCTTTAGAAAAAAACAAACCAAAAAACCCCAAAGCTCCAGAAATTCTCAGCCCCAGGTTAGCATGAGGATTCAGATGAAAGAATTTGTGAGCCAGTGCTGCCATGTATGGTTCTGCAGAGTGTGCCCTGATGGCAACACAGCTGTCATTTTAACAAATCAGTGTATTACAAGGATTTCCCAATAGGTAGTACTACAGTGTTTTGAGGTAGGGGCACTTTTGTCTAATCCACACAAGGTGCTACATGAACTATCCCTGCTTTGGTCAGAATATACTTGGAGACTGAGGGTGAACACCAGGCAGAGATAGGAAATGGAAACTGACTTAAGGCTCTGACAAAACCAAGTAAAGTTAAAAAGCCATTAAATTAAATTTGGGAACAAGATTTAGAATTAGAAGCTAAAGGGAAAGTATGCAGGAAATCAGTCAGAAGAATAAAAAGTAGTTATTATGTTATTATTTTACTCTGAATGATAAGACCTTTTGTAGCGTAAGCCTATCCTAGCAAATAATAAAACAATTTAGGTAATAATAATGAGACTGCTGGGCGTGGTGGCTCATGCCTGTAATCCCAGCACTTTGGAAGGCCAAGGCAGGTGGATCACAAGGTCAGCAGTTCAAGACCAGCCTGGCCAAGATGGTGAAACCCCGTCTGTATTAAAAATACAAAAATTAGCTAGGCATGGTGGTGGGCGCCTATAATGCCAGCTACTCGGAAGGCTGAGGCAGAGAATTGCTTGAACCCAGGAGGCAGAGTTTCCAGTGAGCTGATATTGCACCACTGCATTCCAGCCTGGGCAACAGAGCAAGACTCTATGTCTCAATAATCATAATCATAATAATACTATTTAACATTTATTGAGTATCTATGTGCACCAGATACTATGCTAAGAACTAACACTAACTTTCTCACTTTCATTCACTCCAAATTCTGGGAGGAAGGGGTGATTATTATGCCCATCTTTCAGATAAAGAATCAAAGGTTAAGGAGCTTGTCAAAAGAGCCCATGAATGGCATTATTCCTGCTTCATGAAGAGGTAACTGAGGCTCAGAGAAGTAAACAAGGCTGAGATCACATACTTAGTGGCATTGCTGGGATTTTTTTGTCTGTGTATGTGGTAGGGTCTCATTCTGTTGCCCAGGTTGGAGTGCAATGGTGCTATTATAGATCACTGCAGCCTCAACCTCCTGGGCTCAAGAGATCCTCCCTCCTCAGTCTTCTAAGTATGTGGGACCACAGGTATGTGCCACTATGCCTGGCTTATTTATTTATTTATTTATTGTAGAGGTTGGAGGAGGGGTCTTCCTATGTAGTCCAGGCTGGTCTTGAACTCCTGAGCTCACGCAATCCTCCTTCCTCAGCCTCCCAAAGTGCTGGGATTATAGGCATGAGCCACCATGCTCAGCAATCGCTGGGTTTTAAACCTGTGTCTGACTGTCCCCCAAACTCATATTCTTAACACTACACTGTGCAGTCTGCTCTCCTTTGCTCCACAGCCCTTGCTCTTGGTCTCTGTGCTCATTGTCTTTATAGTAAAGAGGAGGCTTTACCTTAACCGTATGGCTGAGGTGAAACTGTACAGGGCTACCTCTGGCAGTGCTGGGCCACAGGTATTAACCCAAATAGTTGCCAAAATATTATTGACTGTTTACTGCCATCTAGTGGCACTTAACATACGGCAAGAGATCATATAGAGGGAATGAATCATAGGCTTTTTATTAATAGTTAAGAAACTTGGCAATGAAACTAAGTGATGCCAAGAAAATACAGGGAAATAAATCATCATGACGAGAACCGTAAGGCAAGACTGCAAATACTGACACTTAGCAAGATACTCATGGTAGGGCTAGAAACAATTCAAAAAGAATAGCTTTCTGATGGCACAAATGTAGAAGCAGCATATAAGTTAAGCTGTAAACATTTCAGATAGGGAAACATGAATTCCTGGCTCACTTCTTATAAGACTAAAACCTCAGCAGTGGAGGATGAGGAAAATAATTTTTTCAGAACCTAAAATACACTTACTTATTAGAAACATGATGGGTCAGGCATGGTGGCTCACACCTGTAATCCCAGCACTTTCAGAGACAAAGGAGGGAGGATCACCTGAGGTCAGGAGTTCAAGACCACCTGGCCAACATGAAACCCCGACTCTACTAAAAATACAAAAAATTAGGTGGGCTTGGTGGCAGGCACCTGTAATCCCAGCTATTCAGGAGACTGAGGCAGAAGAATCACTTGAACCCAGGAGGTGGAGGTTGCAGTGAGCTCAGATTATGCAACTGCACTCCAGGCTGGGCAACGAGAGTGAAACTCCATCTCAAAAAAAAAAAAAAAAGAAAGAAAGAAAGAAAGAAAGAAACACACAGTGATCACGGTGTTAAAGATAGATAATAGCTGCCACAACTATATTATAACTATTACTACTATAACTATTGCTACATCACCACCACTACCACCACCTTTATTCAGTCCAGGTGCTGCTCTAGTGCCTCAATATGTACTAAGTTATGTAATATTCCAAGTAACCCTATGACATCACACTATTTTTAGTACTCTTTTACAAAGGAGAAAAGCAAAAGGAAATCACTATTTACATTGCAGAAATTTTGATAAACCAACATTATCCTCTTAACTAATCATTGCTTGCCCATGAAATTCCAAATTAGTTTATGAAGACATGGAAACCTGGGTTTGAAGTCCTCTAAACTTGGCACTGAAATCTGATTTCCTTTTGCTTATATTATTTCAATATGAACTCCAGCACTTACTTCTAACCCTGAAGTTCCCAAGAGGACCAGTGCCTTCTTTCCAAAATACAGAAAGAAATTACAGAGAAGGATGGCATGCTCCTCCTTATTTCCAATAGCCAAACTGATGCAGCGCTAAGGCAAAGCAAAAACAATAGGAATGAAAAAAGAAAGAAAAAGGACGGGAAAGTTGAATAATACAAGCATCCAACTGATACAGAGTACCTCTATGCACTCCAGTTCCAAACACACTTATTTTTACCAACTTGCTAAGACGACAGCAGAGCAGACAGCTCTGGCTTTGCTAGGGCATTAGCAGAAGAGAACACTAACTTGGAGCATTGGGGCCACCTTTATTATGGGACACTTAATATAGCTATTGTATAGAGTGACCAATTTATATCCAAAATGGGATGCTTTTGTTTAGGAGAAATATTAAAGTGCCCTTCGCAAGAAGGGACATATGGACTGGTATTTTGAGGAACCTTATCTGAAAGAGAATCATATAGTGTTCGCAGGAAGTGATTCTTTGGGCTGCAGAGCTACATCCTGTCCTGTACCAATATAGTACTCTCAACTCAGAGAAAGGAAGAGATCTGAGTTGGATCTTAATCAGGAAGAGTGACTGAAACTTCTTCAACTGAAAGAGCTGAACAGCTGAGCAGGGTGTAACAGATCAAATAGAGATTATCCAGTAAAGCACAGCAATATGGCAGGAGAGAAAAAGCATAATAGAAGTAGAAGTCTGGTGGTCTGTGACCTAGTTCTAGTCTACAGGTGTGGGGTTTTTTTGTTTGTTTTTTTGGCTCCCAGAATGTAAAAAAAAAAAAAAAAAGAGGAAATTTTCATATAAAACTGGCTTCTGTTGAAAAATAAAAAAAACCTCTAGCAAAGACTTGGGTCCAAATGTTCAGAGGGCAACCATTTCTTGCTGACTACTGGCTACACCATTTAAATGGGACATGTGCTCTCTAGTTCAGTACAGTCCGAGAGAAGGGGCTGTGGGGGCCAGGGAGGTGGGGGTAAGGGTTAGGGAGCTAGAGAGCTCATGGCAGTGACTATTTGCCAATCAGTATGGAAGCACTGCAATGTGCTTTTAACAACTGATATGGCCCTATCAGTGTGCATTGGCTGAGCGTGATGGTGAAGGATGGGGGTTAGGGAGGATAGTTAAGGAAGCCCTTCTGAAAGAACAGTGTGACTAGGTGAGTTAAGGGCAGAATATGAGAAGAGGAGGGAGATGATGATAGTTGGAAACTAAGTTTTCCTGAGGTCCAGATGCTTTGCATGTTACTACATTTAGTCTTTTTTTAAACTCCTGTATGACATAATGAGGAAATTGAGGTCCAAAAAGATAATTAACTTATCTTAGGTCACACATCTATTAAGTCTTTGATCTAGGATTCGAACCAAGGTTTTCTGTTTGTTCGTTTTCCTCTAAAGACTGTGTGTCAGGTGAGAGAAAACAACTCTTTTCTTGTGAAATCGAATCAGTCGTACACTCACGGGCATCCTGTGGCTGAACAGTTTGTGTCAATGAGAAGACATGAGGAATTCCAAGCCTGCAGTAACTGCTTAGCTATGCGCATTGTTTGGATTGTGGGGGACGCAGGGGAACTAGTATTTTCTTGGATGCTTATTTTTAGCTCAGCCTCTTTCAGTGTTCTGCAGGATCATAATACCCCTGAATAAAATTGGGATGTACATACACGGGTATGGGTGTGCAGTCCACATATTAGTAACAAAATATAATTTAAGCTGAAATGGAAGAAATACTCTACTTAGGGTTGCCAAACTTAGAAAAGAATTTATAGGATGCCCAGTTAGATTTGAATTTCAGATAAACAACAAATCATTTCTTATTATAAGTTTGTCCTGAATATTGCATGGGGCCTGTATTTTATTTGGCAATCAGACTTGAATCCAAGTGCCATGGAAGAATACTGCTGTATGAGCTCTTCACTCAGATGGGGGTGATGGGGGAAAGCTTTGGGGAAGTGACAGCACTTGCACAAGACTTCAGGGTCTTGACCAACTCCATAGTGACAGTCATATTGCTCTCTGGAGGATGGCATAATATTATACTCCTGGAATTCCCATTGAGTCAAAATATTTATGAGTTACCACTTAGAATCTTGAAAAGATTTTTGTTATTTATGAATTATTTCCATAGACTGTTATAAAGCTGAAGATGATGTATAAAATTATCAAATACTTTAAAATTTCACAAGGAAAAGTAATACAGAAATATATATTTTTAAAAGGCTTCCTTAAAAGAAATACTATACATTTTAATTATAAAATGTAATTTGTTACCTCCGATGTCATCCATATATCAGAACCATCATTTTCATCTGGTGTATTAGGCATAAAAGGAATCAAAGATACAAATCGAGCAATGAGGTCCTAGAATAATATTAACATCGATTGAGTGTGTACTGTATGTCCATCCCTGAGCACAATGCTTTACATGCATTATCTCATTTAGCATATACTCTAAGCCTTTAAAAGCAGACACTATTATTATTCTAGTACGTATTACGAAAGAGGAAAGAAGCCTGGAGCAATAAAATAACTTGCCCTGGGTTCCATGGCTAATACATATGTGAAGTCTCTGGGAAACTGAGCCCAAGTTGGCCTGACTGCACAGGGTGCATGTAACCATTATATTTTATTGTAATAAATTACTAATATTTTAAATATTGCAATAATATGTATCAATATTAAACATGTACTTTAAAGTACAACTGTTAAAATTTTTTAAGATCTTGAAGCATAGTAAAGGTTTTATTGTTTTTTGGTTCAAAATCTATCAGAAAAAAAAAAATCGATCAGAATTATTTTTGTGAATATAACTTTATAATAAGCTGCTACAGCCAGGAGATACTAGAGTAGTACAGTGTACTTTCTCAAACAATAGAAATCATACTATGAATTTTTCCCCTAAAGTGCTAGAGACAAAGATTCAGACTAATCTAGGAAAAGAGAAAGGGTGCGAAACAAGGAGTTAACATAGGAAGTTCATTAACATTTTAATTGATGTTCAATTGCTGCCATTTATGTACTATTATGACCATCTACACTGGTGACTTCATGCAATTAATAAACAAGTCTCACAATCCTTGACAAGCAAAAGAGCTATGATTTGTACACATTTTTTAAAAGATAAAGATAGTCTTTGTAAAAGATCTGAGAGGACTGTTGCCTCCTTGGATCCTGGATGTCAGAATACACAGGCAAGAAGAAAACCCATGATGGAAAAGCAGTGTAGCAAAAGCCAATCTAAATTAGAACTTTTGATTTTAGGGTTTTTTAAAGGGTTTTGATTTTTTTTTGATTTTAGGATTTTAAAGGGTTCAGCTAAGGGAGCTTTATAACTCACAAATAGTACAAATATTCTGAGGACAAACAATGCACTAGATTGAAACCAAATAACAAAAGGTAAAAGTGATTCTTCACAGGTGCTCTTCAATCATAATGAAGCTGTTAAAAATAATTATAACTTACAAGTGTTGCATTAGAATTGTGAAGAAATATGTCCAGAAGTTGCTGAGGTGGATTTAATGCCTTAATATATCTTGTGACTAAGAACTGTATCCCTTCATCATTAAAAACAGTAGTTATGATTCTTCGGTTGGGAAAGATTGCCTTACAATTCTTCTTAAAAATCTGTGCTCTCTGCAAGACCTCTGTTTGATCTAAAAACTAGAATCAAATTTAAAGTATGTCAACATTGTGCTATATTGTTCCCACAGGAAATATCAAGAACCAATGATTATGTTTGCCAGCTTTGAAATTATTATTACTGGTTTTTAAAGTACTTCATACTTCTTTGATGGTATATATAAAAGAAATTCAATGTAAAACCTACCTTATCTAGTGTTGGATTATAGGTGACATATGATATTTGAGGTTCAATGGTAGCAAAAATATTTAAGAATGTACATTCTTTTAAATTCTGTTCATTGGAATCTTCTCTAGGAAATACATAAGTATTACTCCAAGTATACCCAAGCAAAACTGGTGGAATAGTTACTTGAAATGTTCCACTAATCTGAAAGAGCATATCAGTATAATGGATTATTCATGATGAAAATAAACATCAGTCAAATATGATAGCCCAGCAGAGTCCTCTCTATCACAGAAAGCATGCTTACCTGCATGCAGGGGCTTCTAGTCATTTGTACTTGCCCACGAATGGGCAGGTCCTCTGTGGTGATGTGTTCATAGGCACCCTTGACACCTTGGGACCCTGCCTAATATGTACTATGTAGAGAGGGTAGGAGTAAGAAAGGAATGCAACAAAGAAGCAAGTTACTGTACCAGTGATAAAGCTCTTAGACAATCCAATTCAGGCCCAGAGAAGAAGCTAAAAGATCATGTTACATTTTGTATTGGGTCTAGAAAGAGAACATACAACAGCAAGACAACCCTGAGGTCCACATAGGAGGAATTGTATGTGTGTGTATGTGTGTGTGTGTGTGTGTGTGTGTGCATGCGCGTGTGTGTATGTGTGTGTGTAGGGAAGAGGTAAATTATAATAATAAAAAAACATTAGCTGGGAGTGGTGGTGCATACCTGTTGTCCCAGCTACTTAAGTGGTTGAGGTAGGAGGATCACTTGGGCTAGGGAGGTTGAGGCTGCAATAAGCCATGATTGTGCCACTGCATTCCAGCCTGGGCAACACAGTGAGACGCTGTCTCCAAAAAACATGATAACTAATAGTTACTGAGTGCTAACGACGTGCAAAACCCTGTGCCAAGTGCTTGATGTAGATTAGACACTGCCCTTATCTCCATTTCACAAATAAGGAAACTGAGGGTCAGAGAATTGAAGTATTTATGCAAGACCACAAAACTAGTAAGCAGTGGAACCAGGATTATAGACGTGTTCACCTATGAAGCTCACACTCTTAACCACCTCTGTATCCTGTAGTCTGGCCTGAGACTGAGCAATGTCCATAGGGACTTATAAACATAGGAAGCCCTATAGCTGTGCCTCCAACAATGTATATTCCTATTACTGTTCTTTGCAACACGCAACATCATGACTTCACGTGACTGCACGTTGTGCAGGCACCTCTACTCTCCTACCTGATATTCCATCTTTCCTACCTTCTTACCAATAGCTTTAGTTGGTAACATGACAGCCAGGTAGTAAGAACAGAAACTTCATTAAAATTTTAATTGGTATACAATGACAGCCATTTATGTACTATTGTGAGACTACAGTGGTAACTTCCTGTAATTAATAAACAAGGCTCACAATCCTTGACAAGTAAAGGAGCTAGTATTTGTATATATTTTTTAAAAGACTGTCTCTGAAATAAATCTGAGAGCACTGTTTTCTCCTTGGAAATTGGGTGTCAGGACACATAGGCAGGAAGAAACCCAGGATGGAAAAGCAGTGTAGCAAAAGGCAATCTAATTTAACCCCTTATTTGCTTGACAAATTTGTCAAGCTCTTGTTTGCTTGACAAATTCATCTTTAAGGACTTAATTGAAAAGTTATCCCCTAGGTAAAGTCTTCTTTGATCTTTCATTTTCCTCCTTAGTCTCCTCTTATCTACCAAACTCTCTGAACTACTCCCCCTGCATTTCCACCTGCAACCCAGGAAGAGTAAAGTACTCCCTACTGTATGTTCCCATGTACCAATCTCATGCCTCTATTAAAGCACTACAGCATTATCACATTGTACTGAAATGTTAGTTTTATTTCATAGACAGTGAACTCATTGAGGTAAAAAATTCATTTCTGAATTTTCACTTTCCAGTGTCTGGCATGGCGTCACAGACGTCAAGTGCCTTACCTAACATCACTTAGTGAAGAAGTAACAGTGGAGTCTGGGCTGGTGCTTTTCTACTTTGCTAGTCATGTAGGCCTTCTCCTGCTACATAATTACCCAACAGCAGAGCCCCCTAAGGGTCTCACAGAGACCAGGTACAAATCATAGGTCTTACCATTATCAATAAACAATGCTGACAAGCTGAAACTCCTGGGACCCATGATTACAAAGCAACACCATTAATCAGAATGTTTTATGAATCTGATCTTATAGAACTCTTACATGCAAATATAAATATTGCTTTAAGATCTAAGACTAGCTGTCCTATTTTTTGTTAGTGAATGTTGTAAAGATATAAGAAAGAAATTTGTGAGTATCCTCTGTTCTAGAGACAGTTCAAATACTTCAAAAGTCCAGAACATTCTAATATAGGATCATCTTAACTGACCTACCAGCCTGCCAATCACAGAGTCTGATTCAAAGACAACAGAAAGTGTTACTATTCAAAAGTTAGAATAATTAGCAAATAACTGTTTTCTCTTACCTCAGATTGTTGCAGAAGAGCAGAAAAAGGGAAGACAATGGATCCAAGCCAATTCTTTCTTATATATGAATGAACACTACAGCTTTTGAGACAGTGATCCTAGGAAGATGAATAATTTTTATTACCTACTTAATATCATGTGATGAATAGTTTTACAAACTCATAAGTAAATATAAAAAGTGATTCTTTCTTTTAAAAAAGAAACCAAAAGGTAAATAGAAAAGATACGTTTTTCTTGGTTTTAAATTTCTTTAAAAGATAACTACTTAAAGCAAAAAATAATAGTCTGGGAGAAAACTATCTGTTGTAGAGTTTATGACTTGTGTAAAGTAGAATGTATGACAATACTAGCACAATGCAAGGCGGGGGAAATGGAGGCATTATATTACAGGATCCTGCTCTTACACTGCAAGTGAAGTGCTACTATATTATGTACAGATAGTTTGTAGTAAATTAAAGAGTATATTGTAAACCTGAGAGCAACAGTTAGGAAAACAAACAAGTATAGCTAATAAGCCAATAGTGGAGATAAGATGAAATCACAAAGTATTCCATCAATTCAAAAGAAGGCAGGAAAAAAGAATAAAGAATAGTTGGGATAAGCAGAAGATAAATGGGAAGATGGTACCCAGCCAGGTTAACAATTACACAAAATGTAAATGGCCATACATTCAAAGGCAGAGATTGTCAGAGTGGAAAAAAAAAGCAAGACTCAACTGTGTTGTCTAGAGTAAACTCATTTTTAACATAAAGACACAGCTTAAAAGAAAATAAAGATATACAAAAACTAATTAAAAGAAGGCTGAGTGACTATAACAGCAAAAAAGCATATTTAAAAATAAGAAGTATAATGAGGAATAAAGAGAGAGAATTTATACTGATACAGAAATCAATTCATCAAAAAAATATACCTATAAACATGTATGAACCTAGGAACAGAGTTGCAAAATACAGAGCTAAAAAATATGACATCAAAAGCAAGTTGATAAATTTGACTTCATCAAAATTAAAAAACTTGCTCTTCAAAAGATATTGTTAAGAAAATTAAAAGATAAGCTATATACTGGGAGAAAATATTTGCAAATCATGTATCTGACAAAGGACTTGAATACAAAGGACCCCAAAATTCAATAATAAGAAAATAACCCAATTTTAAAAATAGGCAAAAGAGTTGAACAGACATCTCACCAAAGAAGATATATAAATGGCAAATAAATATTTACATGGAAGGGTACTCAATACCATTAGTCATTAGGAAATGCAAATTAAAACTACAATGAGAAACCGCCACACACTTATTAGAACGGCTAAAGTTTAAAGTTTGACAAAGTATAAGAAAGTGAAAGAACTGGAAGTCCCCTACATTATTGATGGGCATAAAAAGTGGCAAATCACTTTAGAAAACAGTTTTGTAGTTTCTTAAATATCCATTTACCATAATATCCAGCTATTTCTATTTACTAAGAGAAATAAAAGCATTTGTCTATAAAAAGACTTTACACAAATGTTCATAGCAGCTTTATTTATAATAGTCAAAAAAATGCAAACAACCTAAATGCCCATCAACAGGTGAATATATAAACAAGCAATGAAATGCAGGTTTATCAATGGAATATTGCTATATAATAAAAGAAATGAACTATTTGTTAAACACTACAACATGACTTAATCTGAAAATAATTTTTCTGAGTAAAAGAAACAAAACAACAAAAAAGAGCACATACCATAGGATTCCATTTCTATAAAATTCTAGAAAATAGAAACAATAGTGACAGAACACAGATCACTGGTTGCGGGCAGGAGGTGGAAACGCCAGCAGAGTAGGGAGGTATTTGAGGGTAATGGATATGTTTATTATCTTAACTGTATTGATGGTTTCGTTGGTGTATATATACATCAAAACTTGTCAAATTATACACTTTAAATATGTGCAGATTATTGTATGCTAATTATTCCTCAATAACACTATTTTCAAAATTAGAGAAAATATTTGTAGTAGGAAGAAGCGGGGATTAGGCATAAAAGGGATTGGCATTTGCCACCATCACCACCCCTCCCATTGGCAGCACCTATGATCTCCTCTACTTTTAGCCACTTATATTTTTCATTTCATCAACCAAAGGCCAGAGAATCTAGGGAGAGTGAAAGAAAATAGCTGAAGTTTGAAAAAAGCTGCCAAAACACTGATTCCTGCCTTTAGTTCATAACCACTGCTTTGGACATTAGGAGCCCTTCCGACTTTTTGTACTTGAAAAGTTACTCCATCCACTTACCAGGGAATATGAGAAGGGTCTTTTAAATCCAGAGGCTGACCAGCAACAACAAAGCTGAGCAGATGGACTGTGTTGCTCTAGTCTAGGTAATAGGTACACTTAGGTAGCTTTGCAGCAATCAAGGCCTTGGAATTCTGACTGATGTGCTCCCAGCTGCATTAATCTTTCCATCCTAAGTCCCAGGGAAGCTGCAGGCTTTTTAGGTCTACCTTGCCTAAGATACAGTTATAGCTCTATCAAGGTTTACTTTAAAATTGGTTCCCTACGTGGATGGAGCTGGAGGCCATGATCCTTAGCAAATTAACACAGGAACAGAAAACCAAATACCACATGCTCCCACTTACAAGTGGGAGCTAAACTAAGAACACATGAACACATAGAAAGGTATAACACACACTGGGGCCTATTGGAGGGTGGAGGGTGGGAGGTGGGAGGGGATTAGGAAAAACAGCTGATGGGAACTAGGCTTAATACCTGGGTGAAGAAATAATCTGTACAACAAACCCCGGGACACAAGTTTACCTGTATAACAAACCTGTATGTGTACCCCTGAACTTAAAAGCCAATTAAAAATAAAAAGTTCCTTATGCATCCTCTCTGAGAAGCAATGAAAGAATTTTAAGATCAACAATACGAATTATATATGAAACAACCTTTAAGGAGTCTATTAGTATGGGAGTTGTATATATCAAATGATAAAAACAGGACTTAATATCCAGAGTAATAATGTGTGTGTGGTAAGTCTGCATATCCTGGTGTAGTTGAAGCAGGGCCAGGCATTCTGATGGTTAAATAGTGGAAGAGATGCTGCTATGATGGGACCATCTCTTTAAATAACTTGTATAAATAAAACTCAGGTATTTGTACATTTCATTTCTCAACCCCTTGTAAATCAAAGTAACCCCTTCATCTTTGTTCTAGAAGATAATTTCTTCAGGAGCAACACAGCTTGCCCAATAGGGTCCCTTGTCTTGTCATCAGAATGAATACCTTTGTATGTTAATTAGCAGTCATAGAGCTGGGACAGTGGCTTGACTACTGTGGACTAAAGGCTCAAATGTACAGTATGATTTCTACAAGGTAATAAAACTGAAATTTAAAATCAAAAGTTTACACAAAAGCCTCTCAAACATTTGAAAATGCAAAGATATAATATTGGAAAATAGGCCAAGCAAGAAAATGTAATATATATATAAAATAACAAAAAATAAGTAACTAAATATAAAATACGTAGTCTAAGATGTTTTCAGAGATAAAATTATAGTCTCAGAATGTTTCCATTATTTATGATAAGGCAAGAGATCAAACAAACTAGGCATTGAATACATTTGGTCAAAGTAAGTACAAAAGTTATAGTCCTAGGGGAATAGGGAGGAAGAAAATAATTAAAATACAAGCAAAAATAAATGAATTTGAAAACCAAGAAAAAAGTGAAAAGTAAAAACAATTTCAGTAGTTGGTTCTTTAAAGAATAGGCAAACATCTTCCAAATTAAATAATCTTTAAAAAATTGAAAGACATGGTTGGATACAGTTAGAAACCAGAGGATAGTAGATAATGGCAAGTCAAAAATTATAGACTATGCTGAAAATTTATATGCTAATAAATTTTAAAATCTTAAAAATAACTTTAAAAAAAAGCATTTAAACCAATATCCGAGTGTCAGGTTAGTTTAAGGTCTTTCTGTGGCTACTGGAATTTTTGTTAGAGTCACAGTTAACCGAAGCTTTAAATCTGGAGTATGCATGGGGCTTGCTTTGCCAGCTCCAAAGGCAATTCAGTCCATCTCTTTCTTGCCGAGTGTTAAAAATAGGCTATGCGTCTGTGAGAGTCCAAGTCTTCAGCTTTCTGCTAATACATAACTAAAGAAAGGGAGATCTGTGGGGAGTAAGAAACAGTCGATAGCAGGAAGAAAATATAAAGGAGGGGCACAGAGAAAAGAGAGGAAAAATGAAACACTTCTAGACAAAATAGTGTTCAGTGATAACTTTAAACCTTCTTTCAATTGGATAGCTATCTCAGGGCTCAGTCTAGCGCTAGTCTTTTAAAAGACAAGGGAATGTTTTGGCCCATAACTATCCTAAACCCCAGTCCATGAGAAGAGGGCAAGAATGCAAGGACCTTTCCTTTTCTAAAGAGCATGCCAACATTGTCACAAACAAGTCTGATACCTAAAGCATGTGGATCTCATTCCAGTAACAACAATCTCACAATGCAAAGCACTTTCAAGGCTTCAGTTTTTAATCAACTGCTATTCAATTCTGACCAAATCAGTCTTTGAGATAATTCACTTTTGAGAGAGAAAACTTGTTAGACATTCTTTTGAGTTTTTAAGCTTTATCCATTTATCAGTTTTGATAATCAGAACACTACTCAGTTTAATTACTTGGAGAAAAGCTATCACCAAATTACTGTTTAATATTTTACACTCAGCATTTATCATGGTTGATCTAAAGTTCCTTTAATAAGAATGTGTGTCGTATCTCATGGAAAACTGGGTTTGAAAACATAGCCATTATGATTTGCAGTGGTTTTTACAGAAGGTTCATTCCTGAACCGTTCTCTTCAAGGTCTTGTTCAACTTTCTCACATGGATCCCCAGTCCCTCCAGGTAGAATTAATTGTTCCTTCAACAGCATTGCCATAGAATTTGGAAAACATTTCTATTAGAGCATTTAATCTATATACCTTAAAAGAGTAGATATACTACATCTACTATATATACTATATATAGATCTACTATGTATATTATGGGTATGCATCTTTATATTTTTAGTGGCAAGTCCAATAGGGAGGAAACTAACATTTATTTTGGAACTTGCTAGGGTACTAGGCATTGTGCTAGGAACTTTCACACATCTATGAGGAAGACAGTAGAACTGAATTTTAGCCTTAGGAATAATTTGATCTCTTTTGCAGGAGTGGTGTATTTTCTTTGATCAGATAATGAGAAATATGTAACCTATTTCTGTTTATATTTCTGTATTGGCTACACAAAGCTCACATTTAAATGTAATGTTCAGTTGCAGAAACCTACTTCTCCCAAGTTCTTGGTATATTCCTTCCTCGTCCTCCTGTATGTGGTTTATGATCTCTGGTTTTTGTTTTTTTTTTTGAGACGGAGTTTCGCTCTTGTTACCCAGGCTGGAGTGCAATGGTGCGATCTCGACTCACCGCAACCTCCGCCTCCTGGGTTCAGGCAATTCTTCTGCCTCAGCCTCCTGAGTAGCTGGGATTACAGGCACGCGCCACCATGCCCAGCTAATGTTTTGTATTTTTAGTAGAGACGGGGTTTCACCATGTTGACCAGGATGGTCTCAATCTCTTGACCTCGTGATCCACCCGCCTCAGCCTCCCAAAGTGCTGGGATTACAGGCTTGAGCCACCGCGCCCGGCGATCTCTGTTATTTTTAAACTGACTTGTCATATATCTGATTTTATTTCAAGTTGCCTCAAATCCTTTCAAGAAAATGTTGGATATACACATTGCATCTAAAAGCATATTTACAAATATGTTACTTGATTTCATTCAGTTTGACCTTCTTAGAATTATTTCAGCATTGGCTATTATAATTATTCTACCTTACCTCATGTTTTTCAATCATCATTTCATCAAAAATGTTGATATATATATTATCTTTTATTTTAGATAAGCTTGAGAAGCTATAATCATGTCCTGGTGAGCTGCAAATAAAAAATATATATTCAAATACTTAATTTTCTCAAAATCGACTTATTTTCTAAGAGTATTATTCATAAAGAACTATAAAATTACCTGTGTTGTTTTCTTTTATGAAGTATAAACTAAGAAAAAGCTATATGCTTTGAAGACTGGCTGCTCCCTTTCATTAGAGCCAGCATGTGCTTTGTAATTTACATCTCTCTCATGATGAAAAATAAAAATGTTTACGTGTAAAACAGAAAGGGCTTTCACTATAGGTATCCATTGCAAACGGATTATTTGGAGTATTATATAGGTTTTTCAACTGTCTTATATTCTGCTAGTTTCTGCTAGTTGACACACAGAGATAAAATTCTCTTTTATTCTCAGTTAATAGATATGACTTTAAATACAGAATTTATGGCTGGACGTGGTGTCTCATACCTGTAATCCCAGCACTTTGGGAGGCTGAGGTGGGTGGATAACCTGAGGTCAGTAATTCAAGACAAGCCTGGCCAACATAGAGAAACCCCATCTCTACTAAAAATACAAACAAAAACAAACAAACAAACAAAAAATTAGCCAGGTCTGGTGATGGGTGCTTGTAATCCCAGCTACTCGAGAGGCTGAGGCAGAAGAATTGCTTGAACCCAGGAGACAGAGGTTGCAGTGAGCTGAGATTGTGCCACTGCATCCAGCCTGGGCGACAAGAGAGAAATTCCGTCTCAAAAAAAAAAAAAAAAAGAAAAAAGAAAAAGAGAAAACAGAATTTATTCCCTTTCCGATGTTAATTTTCTCCAAGCAGAAACTGGGATAATGGAGTGCATTTAATTTTGCAAGCTGTCTGCTGATGACATTCTTGATTAGATACATTTTGGAGGTAGTTGAAAGGATAGTGTATATCATAAGCAATGAATTTTTACTCTCAGCTCCAGCTTGTGCACTGAATCTCCATCAAACATTTAACAGTGATGGAAATCTCAATCCTGTATAATAGGAGAGAAACTGAAGCTCAGAGAATTTAAATAACTTACTCAAGGTAATGCCACCAGCAAATGACAGCCTAATATGAACCCAGCTCTTCTTTTTAAAATATTTTTGTTTAGTTTACTTATTTATATATGTTTTTTACAGACAGGGTCTATCTTTCCCAGGCTGATCTTGAACTCCTGGGCTCAAGTGATCCTCCCACTTCAGCTTCTTGAGTAGCTGGGTCTACAGGGTGTACCACCACACTTGGCTGGACCCAGTTCTGACAGACTCCAAAGACCAGGTCTTCTCACTATACAGCTACCACTGACATTGCTTGTTGAATCTTGTGGCTTAAGCAAGCAACCAATATTTCAAAGGATCTTCAACAGCTTCTATAACTTTCTGAAACCTGCAAGCAATGATGACTGAAAATGCTAGGTGAGTTTAGAGGACAGTTTTAAGTGGAAGTTTCCTTGTATTTCCTAATGATAAAACAACTAGCTGATTCCCCTACTTTGTTCCTCAAGGATGTCCTTTCTTGTTGCCAGGACCTAAGAAAGAGCAGGGGAGGCAATATTTATTTACAACCTTATGCTAGCAGGAGAAAGGACAACTGCCATCCTTACAACATTTTTTAGCTTGTTAACTTAGTACATTCCTTACATCACTTAAGTCCTTCTGCATTACCTTGCATTCTGTATTTTATTAAAATGTTCTTCAAATGTTATCATAATTCTCCCTCCAAGAAGGGCTCATGGAGCTAATTATTTAATATTACTTATTACTTATACATAATATTATGACTGCTTATCCATTTGCTTGTGGCTTTTATTCACTAAAATGTCACAAGAAGAGGGGAGTAGGATCTTGTATCAGAGGCAACAAAAAGTAGTAGCCGGATGGTTTTTGGCTTATCTGAAGCCTCTGATCCACTTGGTTGTACTCCAAATTGTTCTTGGCTCATCTCACTGCTATAATTGCAAGGATGTAAACACTCCCAAGTCTTCTCATTGGTTTACTTATAAGTTTATATATCTTACTGACTGTTTTATGTTCTCCTAAATTTATTTAATACAGTATATTTCTTCTAATGCTAATGTTTAAATTAATATTCCAAATATTTCCAAATACACATGACCATGTGTTACATTTACAAACTTTTCAAACAAATACATTTTATATGTTAATGATTTAACTTGCTATTATATGATATTATATAATAGATTTCCTTTTAAGTCAATAATTTCCTTTACACACAAAGATCAAATAGTTCAAGAAAGCAAGTGTCAGAGAACAAGGCAAAGTGAAGGTACGAGGTTCAGACAGGCAGCCAAATAACAAGGATATCTATTTAGGAACTCTGGCCAATGACTTTAAAATATAATTGAGCTGGCCGAGCGCGGTGGCTCAAGCCTGTAATCCCAGCACTTTGGGAGGCCGAGGCGGGTGGATCACGAGGTCGAGAGATCGAGACCATCCTGGTCAACATGGTGAAACCCCATCTCTACTAAAAATACAAAAAATTAGCTGGGCATGGTGGCACGTGCCTGTGATCCCAGCTACTCAGGAGGCTGAGGCAGGAGAATTACCTGAACCCGGGAGGCGGAGGTTGTGGTGAGCCGAGATTGTGCCATTGCACTCCAGCCTGGGTAACAAGAGCGAAATTCCGCCTCAAAAAAAAAAAAATTATATATATATATATAAAATTGAGCCTATGTTGAATCCGGAAGAACAAATTTGATTTCTGCTAAAAGGAGAAGTTCCATAGCATCTAAGCTAACAAAATCCTAAAGTTTTCTTTGTTATAGTTCTCCTACCCCAAAGTTGAAATAATGGCATAAATGGGGTTTCCCTTTCCTTGCAAATCCTGTTTAGGATCTGAAATCTTTCACTTTCAGAAGGGGTGGCTGGGATTGAATGTTTATATAGCCTCCAAGATGTCACCACATATATGCAAGTGATTATGTCAGTTCTTCTGAGTTCCTTTAGTCTTTGTTAGTGGGGAATATATGTTAACATAGGCATCGAACAAAGCATAGAAATCCTATGAAATCATATAAACTATGAAAGATATGAAACATAAAATATTCACAGGAAATTATATAAAATAAATTATAGAAAAATAATATAAAATGATGGCTAATCCATAAGATAATCCCGCTCTACATGTATGAATAAGAAGTCAATTTTCCCACCTTTCAAAGTAAAAAGACTCATATTATTTGAAAAAAAGTTTAGATGTTTAATAGCTACACATACCTGCTCATGAAAGAAATTTATACCCAGCAGTAAAGCATAGCAATACTAAAGGAAGCGGCCATAGAATTAGATCCATTTTACTGGGTCGTGTGTGTGTACATGTACATTCCTAAACACCATATAAAGAATTATTCTAGTCTATATCTGTTTTGTTCCTTCTTGGTAGCAAGAAGGAAGATAGGTATATATTTCTTTTTGGATTTAAAAATCTGATTTGTTAATTATTTTAATTAAAAATACTTTTATATACAGGAATATTATTGAAAAAGATATCCTCACTCATTCTTCAGAAAGTGCAATGGTCTAAAATTTTAATGCAAATATGTTTAAATTAAGGAAAGTAAAGGAAGTCCACTATTTATTAAATAAGACTTTTTAAAAGAACATACCACAAAGGAAAGGATTGGTAAAATTTAAAACTTATTTTCATCAAAATATAAAGAAAATGAAAAGTCAAACCATTAGGGAAAGATAGTTTTAACACATATAACTGACAAAGGGCTGGTATCCATAACATATAGAGAACTGCTTTAAAAAAAAAAAGACAGACAAAACAATAGAAAAAGAGAGAAAAGTATCCTTTCGGCTGGAATTCCTGTAATTCGCCAAAATGACGAACACAAGGGAAAAGAGGAAAGGTACCCAATGTTTGTTCTCTAGGCCATTTAGAAAACATGCAGTTGTTCCTTTGGCCATGTATATGTGAATGTATAAGAAAGGTGATGTTGTAGACATCAAATGAATGGGTACTGTTCAAAAAAGAATGCAAGTGTTACCACGGCAAAACCAAGAGTCCAGCATGCTGTTGGCATTGTTGTAAACAAATAAGGGCAAGATTGTTGCCACGAGAATTAATGTGTGTATTGAGCACATAAAGCACATTCAGTACTCTAAGAGCTAAGATAGCTTCCTGAAATGCGTGAAGGAAAATGATCAGAAAAGGAAAGAAGCCAGAGAAAAAGATACCTGGGTTCAACTGAAGCGCCAGCCTGCTCCACCCAGAGAAACACACTTTGTGAGAACCAATGGGAAGAAGCTTGAGCTGCCTGGAACCTCTTTCCCATGAATTCATGGCATAATCGGTGTTAAAAAAAAAAAAAAAAAAAGACCTCTGGACTGTGAAAATGTTTCTCTTCATTGAGTGGAAGTGTGGCGTCCTCCCCCACAAGGAAATATTTAAAGAAAATTTTAATTGTGTCCTAATTCATTATGTAATATCTTCACATTTCAAATTTAATGTATATCTTGCTTAGATGAGAGGTGGCTTATTGTGCAACAAATTACTCAATTGGTTAGAAAACAGACAGATATTATATATGAAATATTTGTACTGGTTTGAAGATAGTCCCTCTAAATCATCATGGAAGAAATAAAATAATTTACAAAAAGGAAAAAAAAGAAAAATAGATAAAAGTAAATAAAGCCTGTTTCAATAATTATTTCAATAAGTAGCTCAACAAAATAATTTTGTTTTTGCTCTTTTTTTTAGGAGCTATGGAACAATGAACTCCAACTTACAGAAAATCTACTTTAATTTCTTCATTCCAGCATGGATGAGATCCACTTGCTGTACTGGTTTGGTATACAGTGTGCTGGAAAGTAACTTCCACGAATGGATGTACAGTATCCTGAAACACATGGTAAACATTGACTAGATTTTGAAATACTTTATATAGTCAATAAAAGTAGAGGTCTAGGAAATTACTTGGCAAGTGC